CACAAAATGTTATGATAAATCACAGAGAAAAAAATGTGACAATGAGTGTGTATATGTCCATGAATGACTGAAAAATTGTGCTGAACACTAGAATTTGACACATTGTAAAATGATTATAAATCAAAAAATGTTAAAAAAAAATAAAAAAATAAATGGACCTTCAGAGTTCAAACCCATGTTGTTTAAGGGTCAATTGTACTTTATTTATTGTGAATAATGGTCAAATTTCTCCTTTTGAATATAAAAAGTATACAGTATAGTACATAAACAGCCCTGTATTTAAGCTTATAGACTAGTAAAGTCTTTAAAAACCTACAATTCAAATCTCACTACACTCATTTCAATAAAGCTATCCAAAACCTGTTGTTCAGAAATCTGCCTCTGTCAAATAGTTGAATTGGATTTGAAAATGATCTTTACAGAGACTTCTGTCATGCCATTTGTTGGAGTAAGATTTGAACTATATCATAACAGGAACTATAACTACATAGCAGATTATCAGGTAAACAAGCTCCATATAGCACAAGCTATATGCGTTAATACAGAACAGAAGAGTCTGTACACAAATGTGTGCTATCCACCTATAATGGTGAATTTCATCAACAAAAATCTATCATAAATAAAGACAGCAATTTGTTTTTATCTCGAATGAAAAAACTGCTATCAAGTATCTTAACCATTATGACTTATACCACTGTGGAATTTCAATTATGAAGTAACTTTAAGTGTCCATCAAATGTAAATCTTCCAATAACCAATATTCTCCCCAAAAAAAGGATAGAGTGGTACAGTTCAGTTCTGAATAGGACCATCCTGTTCATCTCACCAGATTGATCAGCCTTCTCATCGCATGTTCATGAGAGCAAACACATTCACAGGGGTCGAATCCACCTTCTGCCATGATTACCCAGCTTGATTTAACTTGACTGTTTAAATCTAGGAGGAAGGAAAAAATATTTTAAGACTACTGTTCAGAGTTACTCTTTCTCTTAAGCTATAAAAAATTCATGTATGTATAGATTCACAATAGTTCTTTTAAACTAAGTATAGTTCAATTTATTAAAAAAATATCTATGAGTTTATTACTAATCTTACATGAATTATGAACTATACAAATGACTGGATACCACTTCTGTCATCAGACTGATTTCCTATAAGTGTAAACGTCTTCAGATACTCTACACTGGACTCACCTGTGAAGCTGGTGATACTTGAGCACTACTCTGCTTGCTTACTTAATTCTTTAACTTAGTTAGCCTCACCACTGCTATGGACTGAATGTTTGTGTCCCTCATAAAATTCATATGATGAAGCCTTAATCACCAAGGGGATGGTATTTGGAGGTAGAGCCTTTGGGAAGTAATTAGGTCATAAGAGTGGAGCCCTTATGAATGGGATTAGTGCCCTTAAAGAAAAGACACGCTATCTCTCTCTCCACCACGTGAAGATACAACAAGAAGGCAGCCATCTACAAACTAAGAAGAGGTCTCTCACCAGACACTGAATCTGCCCGCAACTTGATCAAGGAACTCCCAGAATCCAGAGCTGTGAAAATAAACATTTCTTGTTTAATTTACACAGTCTGTGCCATTTTACCACAGCAGCCTAACCTGACTATGGTACCTCTGCAGCCTTTATCCTACCAAGAAGGCCAGCTGAAAGAAAAAAAATCAGTTACCTAAAATGCTACCAATGCCGGGGGTGGGGGGCCATGAATTAACATGACAAGGATAGCTGGGAAGATTCTCAATAAGAATAATGAGTAACAAGATGGAGTACTAGTGATACTTAAGATGGAACTGACAGATCAATGGAACTCATCAATTAATTTAAGGGAACTTCACTCATTCAGAAAGTATTAGCATCTGTGCTGGGCATCAGCCACACAAAAGTGAGCAAAAACTTATATAGAGTCCTTACTTACCCTAAAGGGTGGTAAGATTCTAATGGTGGAGATAAATATTAATCTAAGTATTTTAAAAATTACAAATACAAACCTGTAACTGCTATAAATACAAATGAACCAAAAAACTAGAAAAGATAACACAGAGAATGAGAGAAAATACTTGCAAATCATATTTCTTATAATGGTTTACTCTCCAGACTATATAAAGAACCCCTCTAACTCAATAACAAAAACAATCCAATTTAAAAGGGACTTAAATAGACATTTCTCCAAAGATATGCAAACAGCCCAAAAGCACATGAAAAAACATTCAATGTCATTAGTGAAATACAAAAAAAAACCCCAAAAACCCACAATGAAATACCACCTCACACCTATTAGGATGACTATAATTTGAAAAATGGAAATAAGTGACATGAAGAAATTAGAAACCTCCTAAATGGCCTCTCTGGAAAACCATTTGGTGGGTCCTCAAAAAGTTAAATATATAATTATCAATTACATTTGGAATTTGACTCAGCAATTCCATTTCTAGGTATTTATCTCCAAAGATTTGAAAACAGGGACTCAGATAGATACTTGTATGCTAAATGTTCGTAAGAACATTATTCACAAGAGCCAAAAAGTAGAAAGAACCCATGTGTCCAACTACTGATGAACAAAAAGTGGTATATACTTCAATGGAGTATTACTCAGTCATAAAGAGTAATAAAGTTCTTCTGTATAGCACAGGGAACTATATTCAATATCCTGTAGTAACCTATAATGAAAAAGAATACAAAAAGGAATATATGTATGTATAACTGTATATGTATATATATATGACTGAAACATTATGCTGTACACCAGAAATTGATGCAACACTGTAAACTGACTATACTTCAATTAAAAAAAAAGTTCTGATACATAGATGAAACCTGAAAACATTATGCTAAATGTCAAACACAGAAGGACGAATATTGTATGATTCCACTTACATGAAATTTCTAGAATAGGCAAATTCATATAGACAGAAAATAGAATGGTAATTTCCAGGATGTGGGGAAGAGAGGAATGGGGAATTATTGCTTAATGAGTACAGAGTTTGCTTGGTGTGATAAAGTTTTAGAAACAGACACTGGAGATAGGTGCACAACATTGTAAACGTAAAGCCATTAAATTGTACATTTTAAAAATTGTTAAAATGGCAAAATTTGCAGGGGGTATAGCTCAGTAAGCATGCTATGCTTAGCATGCACGAGGTCCTGGGTTCAATCCCCAGTACCTCCATTTAAATAAATAAATAAACAAACAAACCTAATTATCTCCCCCTACAAAAAGAAAAAAAAGTTTAACAAAAAAAAGGGGCAAAATTTGTTATGTATATTTTACTACAATTAAAAAAAAATGTGGTTGTCCAGGACTAGGGGGCTTGGAATGAAGTGGAGAGTGACTGCTAATTGGTACATCCTGGGCGAAGATAATGTTCTAAAATCGAATATGGTAATGGTCACACAACTCCATGAATATGCTAAAAACCATTGCACTGTACACCTTAAATGGTGCATTGTGTGGTATGTGAATTATATCTCAATAAAGCTGTTACTTCAAAAAAAGATAAATGGTGCTTAGAAAGCATAACCTGGTTCTAAACTTACCTAGGGAGTCAGGAAGACTTTACTAAAGAAGTTAACTCTGAGTTGAAAGTGGATGGATTCACTAGAATACAACAGGGTGAAGTGGAAGGTACGGGGATTGAGAGCTGCAGGCATTCTAGACACAAAGGGAAGAGCAGTGTGAAGACTGTAGGGAGTAAGATTATGACCTGATGAAGAAACTGAAAGAAAGCCATGATGTGCTGGAATCCAGACAGCAGCAGAGTGGTCTGAAATGAGACCAGAAAGGTTAAGGGGCCAGGCCACACAGAGTCTTCTAGGCCATGTTCAAGACTAGGTCTTCATCCAAAGAGCAATGTGAAGTCCATAAGGGTTTTTATGCCTGTGTATTTTTAAAAGATCACCTTGGCTGCACTATGGAAAACTGACAGTAGAGAAGCTAGAGTCAACATAAAGAGACAAGTCAAATTGTTTCTTTCATTAATTAACTCAGTAATCATGATGTCCATTACAGAAATATATAGGTTTGATGACAGCCTATCAAATCACTAGGCAGGAGACAAATTATTCCACAAACAATGTTGGGAACAGCTGACTCCCTACCTTCATTCCCTACACCAAAACAAATTCTAGATGCATGAGTGATTTAACTTTTCAAAATGCAGCCACAGGTAGAAATAGTCAGCTAGAGCAATAGATTAGAACATAATGTTGACAAACTGATCCATGATTTTACCAGAATTTAGAATATGATGAAGATGCCATTTTAAACCATGGACTACCTAAGTAGGATAAACGATAGAACTGTCTATTTTTTTTAATTAAGGTATGATGCATACATAAAGGACTGGAAGAATATACATCAAACCTAATTAAGTGGTTAGCTCTGCGGAAGAGAATATAATTTTGGAGACAGACTTTCCATAGGAAAAAAAGAGATCAGACTGTGCTGGGTGTGGACATAACACAAGTGTCCACTTACAAATACTGATCCTTCTTTCCTCCCTATCACTGCCTTGCCAGGCCGATAAAATGTGAGTTGAAATTAAATGATATAGTACTAAGCTTTTTAAAAATGAAATTCAAATACTAAAATACCCAATATCTATCCAGTTAATGTAGCGCCTCAAGATGAAAATGCTAAGAAAATATAAGCAAACAGATTTTTACAAAGGAGAGTTGTGTTTATCACCCATAAAAATTGTAGAACAGCTATTTTTAAGTCTCTTTTTAATCCATTTGATTTACAAAACTAGATTCCACCACCACTTCTCCCACCCCCCCAAAAAAACAGAGCTTGGAGGCAGGAATCTATGTTAATCATCAGCCACAGTAATTAATAAATATTTATTGAAATTTGAATGTTTATTTTCTCTGTATCTACACATGAAAGAAACATATAAATCAACTAGAATTTTAAAAGTATGTTGCTCTTAATTAGCCTCCAGTAAAATGAAAAAATGTGTTTATAAATAGGACATTCCTCAAAAGTGCTAGGTTTCTGTGGAAATTTCTACATGAGCTGTTTTAAATTGAGTTGTTTTAAATACTATTCAGTTTTCAGTTAATAGTTTCCACTTTAAAATTACTTGGTTTGGTTTGGTTTGGTTTTTAAATAGAATGGAAATAGTTCTCTGTTGGCCCAGACCTCAAAACAAGTGTCAACACACAGCAGCACACTAGAGCAAAAAACTTACCCATCCCACCCCACATTTAGATTTCTTGGTGTCCAGAGACTTTAAGAAGTTGCTCTATCCTGGGCAAGACAGAATCTGGTAAATCAGCCTAGAAGAGGCCTTGGATAGAAGGTAATTTAAAGCAATGCTTTTGCCTTTCACGTTTCACAGGAGTTGTTCAGCTCCTCAATATATAACCCTAATGTGAGAATAATGCTAAATAATGTTTAAGTCATGGGCTTGACCCTTGAAGACAACCAACTTTACTCCAACTGATCACAAAGGGCCTAGTTGTAAAAATAAGAATAGTGCACTGAAAAAGTTCAAAATAATCCAGGGGAGGAGAGAGGAAGTAAATACAGGCAGAGAAGAAATAAAATTGGCCATGAGCTGAAGCTGAGTGATAGGTACTAGGGAGTCTGTACAATTCTACTATACAATTCACTTTTTTATATTTTAACACTTTCCACAATCAAGGGTTTAATTTATATATTAGTAATTTCCTATTACAGCAATCTGACTCTGGGCATAAATTAAGCACCAGTTTACAGGTGACTTTTTATGCAGTATAAAGGACAAAACGCATCTAAAGCTCTCACAGCATTCCCTGCTAAACTCTTTGCACAGAAAAGCAGTAAAATAATCCACCCTCTCTGTTGGGACGGCAAATACAATTCCCCACATCCCTCAGATCCGAGTCATTTCCTCCTTTGACTAACAAACGTTTCCTGGTAGAGTTCAGCTGTAATAAGTTAGTTG